AAGGTCCATTCCAACCCCTAAAAAAAAATTATATGATTCTGTGAAATTCTGTGATTTTCCGTCAGCGCTACCGTGCAAAGCCGGAGGGTCCTGGCCCCGGCGCGGCCTGGGTGCTGCTGGGGTCTGCCCCTCTCGCCGGGGCTGCCGGGAGCGCAGTGGGTACCGAGGGCCGATGTGCCCTCGGGGACTGCGCATCACAAACGCACATCGCGCCGTGTCCGCTCTCAAATGCGTCTGGGAAAGGCAAATGGGCACATGGCCTCGCTGGGAATTGGGCCGACCCTGTGCAGTCACTAGGATGTAGGTGGATGTGCTGGTGTTTGTGGGTTGTCTGGTGCAGCCGTTGCAGTTTGAATTCAGAGTGGTTGCTACCTGAGAAAACTTCGCTTCTGTCACAGATGCAAACTGTTTTCTAATAAGTATTTGCATGGGTTTTTTTAATGAGGAACCAAATCTTTTCTTCCAGTAAACTCTCACGGCTGTGGGATGTGTTCTTTGCCAAGTTCACTTGTCAAGTTGCAAAAACCAACAAGTGGTAGCTGCAACATACCACATTCAATTTCAGCTGTTAATCGCTGGCATTTTTGTGTTTCTTTGGTGTGTTTAGCACCTAACTTTATTCACAGCTAGAGTCTTGTGGAAGTTCAAATATGGACTTCAGAGATTGGAATTTTTCTATAATGTTTCTGAAGAAAAGACTCATCAGGAAGTTGTGTTATCAACATCATTTTTCAAAAGAGTACAGGCTAATATAGCCACATTAGTATAGTGTGGGTTAGTCTAGTAGGTTATTAATAAAGCTGTTTGTGTGTTTAGAAGTGGAAATAAATGGAAAAAGAATGTAGATGGTTTTAAACTCTAAGTGAAAGCTAGGGAACTTGCTAGTAAATGAATCTGTACTTCAGAAACTGCTTGTTTTGGCTCACTTACCTATATGAGAAAGAGCTCTAACAACAACTGGCTTGTGATTTCACCACTGTAAAACATGAAAAAAATTTGGGAAAGGGGTGGAATTTGAGGGGGGAAGAGCATATGCTGCTTAAGTTTGATGTGATTAAATATTGGGGACAGAATCCATGACAAGATGTATCTCAAGGAAGACATTCCTCATGAGATTAATCATTTATTCTGCTAATTCAATTGCTGTGTGACACAAGTCAGTCAAACCATGATGATAACTCATCACTGCTCTGCCCTGAAACACTTTCCTCTCCCTTTTGACTTAGCCAAGTAATTCTGTCTTTTCTTCAGGCCAGCAGACCTCTGTTACATGGATTAGTTGTACAATGACATTCCCGTTGCCTCTGTGCTCTCTGGGACTGACCTGTTTCTTGCCTGTCCTTTCTTTTCTTCTCTTGGCTGTTTTCAGTCTTGCTTACCCAGAGAAACTACTTGAGTTCCTGCTGCACTGTCACAACCCAACAGTGATGTGCTCACACTTGATCTTACCCCAGGCTCATGATCCTGCACTCAGACACTCAGCATTTCTCCTCTTTTGTGATCCAAGTGTCTGATTATCCACTCAAACCAAAACCACTTCTAACAGTTCAGTTTTCAGGCTCTTCATTACATCTGCAGAAAAACCCCCTCCAGTTTCCTTCCTTCCCAGCAGAGCTTTTTCCTCCTGTCCCTTTTTCATCTCCTCTTGGAGCTTTAGCTCCCTTTTCTCTGAAGTATGGTGATCAAAGAGGGTGGCTGTTGGATAACAGTTGGTTCTTCAGGGCTTCTTTCCTTCTTTGGAGCCAGTACCAGGCTGGTGTGTGGTACAGCAGGACTGACTGTGCCTGTGGGTACTGTAGTGCAGTCTCCCTGGGACAGGGCCCCGTGAGCCACAAACAAGGACTTCTAGCCCTGCATCAAGCACAGAATGGTGTGCCTCAGGCTGGGTGCTGTGTCATTGTGATTTACATTTAGATTTCTTGTTATGCACTAACTTTTTCCCCTCCCTTACAGGTACCCTCTGACAAATTACACCTTTGGTACAAAGGAGCCCCTGTATGAGAAGGACAGCTCTGTGGCCGCTCGGTTTCAGCGCATGAGGGAAGAGTTTGACAAGATTGGCATGAGAAGGACAGTGGAAGGAGTTCTGATCGTGCACGAGCACAGGCTGCCCCACGTGCTGTTGCTGCAGCTGGGTACAACATTTTTCAAGCTGTAAGTGTCTGTTTCTTAAATGTGTAATGCTTATTGTCACATACCACTAAACTGTGGCCAACTGAGATGTGGGATTCATGTCTTGCAAAGACTTGAGTCTGGAAAGTCTTTTCTGAATGGTTGGGTTTACATCTGAAGTGTGTTTGTCTGACTCTGCTCAAGAGTGGGGTGACTTAGTTTGGAACCAACTGGGAATCTTAGTTATGGTGCATCATTATGGTAAAACATTTAGAACTCATTATCAGCAGTTGGTGTGTTGTACTTGCCTTGTGAGAGCTGTTATGCCTCAGTATGCTTATGCTCTGCCTGCAGAAATGGTCGAGTGGAGTTCAAGGGCTAACCCCTTGTAAATGCAGAACAACACCCGTTTGCAAACTGCTGGTTGAGGTGGGGTAGCAGGAAAGGTAGACATCTACATTTGACAAAATTGCTTCAGTTCATCTCAGAGTGAGCACTGCCAGAGTGAAATGTTGGCGTTTCAATACAATTGTAGTGATCGTGGTGCTTGTTTTCTTTTTTAAACTAGATAGGCTTGACTTGTCTCAAGTTACCCTGCTTGTGTTCTTGCTCTTCTGGTTTTAACATTTATATTGTTTCTTCTCAATTTTTTGTGTGTGTCAAGTCTAATTTTATATCCAGATTTGGTTTTGACATCTTGATTTGAAGGATGTTTGTGGTCAGCTAGGCTAGACTCTGAAAGAGTTGTGAAATGCTGTAGTGATGAAAATGTGGGTTTAGTTTTTTTTCCCCTAATCCTGTATCGAATGCAGGATGGTTCCCCAGATGAGTGTTATGCTTCAGTGTGTGCTGGTTTTGAGATGAAAACAAATACAGGCAGCACTTACTATCCTTTCTTCAACTTTTGGTTGTTATTGTTAAAATTTTACCATTTAAGTGTCACAGTTCTTAGCACGTGTGTTAATATGCTTTATTGTGCTGAACTGGAAGTATTTAATAGCAATTTTTCTAAGGGACATAAAGTAGCCACCTCAGTCATAGTTTTGGTGGAAGCTATCCTGCTGTCCTCAAATTCACCAAAGTTAGGTTTGGAACTGCTGACTTAAAGGCCATAAATGAACTTGTAACTCCCTGCCTGGATTCACACCTGAACTTACCTGTGAACTTCGGTAAATGCAATAAAACATAACCTTAGCTTTCATCATTGATTATTTTAACAGACCTGGTGGTGAACTCAATCCAGGAGAAGATGAGGTAGAAGGGCTCAAACGCCTAATGACAGAGGTCTGTTTTCTTTCATTATGTTCCTACAGCAGAATGTTGCATTGTTTAGAATTAGCAGAATAAGCCAAAGCCTTACCACTGCTGTTATTTTGTTGCTTTTGTGATGTTCTCAGGTAGTTAACAAATAAAGCAGTCAAGTCTTCATTTATCTGCATCATGAGTGTGGCTGACCTCCTACCTGCTGTTCAAGTCCTGTGTTCATTTGCAGCTTTGCCTTCTAGCTGGTTTCAGGCAAGTCAGTGTAGAGAAGAGCAATAAATATGTTGTGGAGCACAGCTGATGGGGACTTGCTTTTGAGGTAGTCCTCTCGATCTACTGGTAACTTTCCATGCTCTCCAAGTAGCCTAAATTAATTCTGCCAGGTAGCATAACAATGCATTTCATTCTTCCTTGGTCTGATAGGATTCAGTCCAGCTGAACACACCATGGAATTTGAAATGCTCTCTAAAGTGGCCTTGTCCTGCCAGGTGAGGCTTTTACTAAAAAATGTCATTTTATGCAAAAATACTCTACAATTCTATTGAAAGCTGTCTCAGAGCAGTTCTAGGCTACATCAGACCCAGCAAGTCTTTGTGCTTCCCGTATATGTTTCCTAAAAAAACCTGACTTGGGGTGGTAGGAATTTTGACTGTAACTGGATTTTTGGTAGATACTGGGTCGTCAGGATGGTGTGCAGCAAGACTGGGTGATTGATGACTGCATTGGCAACTGGTGGAGACCGAACTTTGAACCTCCCCAGGTGAGTATTCCTGTGGGCTTTCATCTTCAGTCAAGTACTGATTGCACTTCCAAAAGCCTTCAACCTGCCAGTTGGGTTTTCTGAGTACCTGCTGCTTCTCCTTTCTGTGACTGAGGAGAAATTAGTTTTTTGTTTGCAAACTCCTGCCTCCTTCCTCTACACCTGTCCTCTGATGGATGAGAAACCACTGGATGTAATAGCTTCTGGTTCTGTACTGAGACAGATGCACCATTTAAATTGCTTTTGTCACCACAATGGAAACTCTTGCACTGCTGTTTAGGGAACAGATGCCCTGTGAATAAATTGGTCTCACTACCCTGTTTCTAAAGGCTTTAATCTTGAAAATCCTTGCTCAGTTTGCTGTTATGCATTTCTGTCTTACTGGGTTGTTTTAACTGCTCATGGGTGTTGGTGTCTCTTGAGATCCTGTCCATAGCTGTGACAGCAGCAGCATTCCTTTCTTGAGTACTTCTTGTAAAAATGGTTTTCTTTATTTGAAGCCATTAAAAAACAACCTATAACACATTGAAAGCTTGCACAGTGTTTGATAATTCATGAAGTAGCACTTAAGATTGCACAATAGTGTAAAAGCTCTGTACAACCAATTTTTACTATTTTTCTTCCAGTATCCCTATATCCCAGCTCATATTACGAAGCCAAAAGAGCACAAAAAGCTTTTCTTGGTCCAGCTTCAAGAAAAGGGTAAGTGTCTGTTTGCAGCAAAGAGTTATTTGTAACAGTGTCTAAACATTTTCATTTCACACAAGGAAATTTAGTAGCGAGTTTGTGTTTGTATACTTGCAGTTGTTTGTAGCTGATCACTAACAAAGTTAAATGCTGGTATTGGTTTTGGAGGTAGATGACCTTTGAACATGAGTTTCTAATAAATTCCCATTCCTGTGTACAGCACGTGCCCCTCACATTTAACCTGCTCTAGTGCTCTCTGTAGTTACCTTGTTTTGAGGGGTGTGTGTGATGATGATACCTTGGCTGAACATGCTGTGGTTTTTCTTATTAATCAACTTGTTTGGTTTGGTTTTTTCAGCTCTGTTTGCAGTCCCCAAAAATTACAAGCTGGTCGCTGCACCATTGTTTGAGCTCTATGACAATGCACCAGGATATGGACCCATTATTTCCAGCCTTCCTCAACTTTTGAGCAGGTATGTTTTATTTATATTAAGGTTCTTGGGAATACACATGCTGAGGAACACTAGAACAAGGCTGGGCACTACAGAAACCAACTTGAAAAGGTTGTAGCTATTCCGAAGAACCTGCCTCAGACAAAGTGTGATGGACACATTGGAGGCAGTGATCCCAGCTGGCTAGCACCACAGTCTTACCTAGAAGTTGTGGCTAAGGAAAATGTGGAAGATACTGAGGATGAGGCTGTGCACAGGCTAAGGGACAGCTTCAGGTAGGTATTGAGGGTAACAGCATGAGAGTAAAAGCCAAGATTTGAGTATGAAGCACTGAGTTAGGTGTGTATGTTACCACAGCTTTGTGCTGCAGTTTTTTTAGACTCTAGTAGAGCTTATAACATGTAGCATCTTTGACACGAATATTTGTAGGGACAGCTGCATATTTCCCTTCCTCTTCCCAATGTACACACTCTTTGGCTTCCTTACCTGGAAATGGTTGGTGGCTTGGGTCTCCAGAGCTCACTAGACTTACTGGTTTCTGTTAGTTCAGCCAGCGTTCAGACATGCCAGACGTCCCACAGGCTGCCAGCTGCTTCTCAGGGAAGTAGTTCTGTCATCCACCTACATCGATGAGAAAAGTCTGCTAGCAGAATGTCAGCACTGGGGTTGCCCATAATAGGCTTGTTTCCTGCTGGGTTTTTTTTTCCTGTCTAGCCCTAGTATTGGCTTCTCCCCTCTGAAGACAGCAGGTATTACCTCCTGAGTACCAGCAAAACACTGGCAGTTATGCAGACAGATGCTGGTTTGGTACTGGTGCAACAGAGGCATCCAAAGGTTGTGCATGTGGATGCTGAGATGGACACTTGCTTCCACTGTTATTTGTGGTACTTAACAGAAGAGAGAATTCTTCTCAACTAAGTGTGTCTGTATGTTATCCTTGGAGTGTAAAAGGTTGGCCTGAGAGCAGAAATGCTGCAAAAGAGTTGCCGATGGAAGAACATAACTCTCTTGAGGTTTTCATGTCTGTGAAGCTGTCTCAGGAGATGAAAGGTTAATAATCAGCTCTTCTGCAACCTTAAAGAGACAGTTGTGCAATGCTAGTGTAGGATTGGCTGTTAAAAATGATAGACTATCATGCATAGCCATACGGTAAAGCTGTCTTATTAAAAAATGCACTTTGGTCCTGTCAGGTGGAGGCTTGTCCAGAGCAGAAACAAAACATCTGCTTACTCATTCAAAATTGCCCTTCAACAAAAAGAATGAAAAATCCTCACTTGGTATAATCCTTTGAATTTTAGGTTCAACTTTATTTACAACTGAATTCCTGTTTCTCTGAAGACTCCAATAGAAGAAGCAGTCTCTGTGAGCACAGCTTTGAAATGTAGAGAGAATATGTGTGACCAAGGAGTTTTTTATGTCATTCTTTTCCTGGAGGCCACTAAACCACCTATGGTATGAACACAGAAGTGAGTCTCAACTGTTTAGCTAGCGAGATGGCAATGTGAGACCAGTGCTTTAATCCCTTTTCATTGTTATACTCACCAATTTTTTGTTTTGTACAACATTAAAAAATGGGTAAGATTGTGTTTGTCTTGTGTCTTGGGTTTATTTTTGGGGCTGTTTTTTGTTTTGGATTTTTTTGGTTGGCACTTTATTTATCTCCTACTTTTAGGTATATATTTTAAATTTTATGACTTTTCTTCAGGAATACAGAAGATCTTGGAAACAAGAGGAGGGGCTAAGCCATTCAGGGCCCATTCAGATGCTCCATCTGCATCCCTGAGTAGGGAATTAGGGCCAGGGAGAAATCAAACAGTATAAGTAGGTGCAATATAATTTTGAGCTTTAATTAATTTGGGGAACAGAGCTGCTGTTTTGAGGTAGTGTGATTGCTTAAAGACAAGTGTAGCCTTTACCTTTTTTTACCAGAACTGATTTGTTTGTACAGGACTTGAGGGAGATACAACACGAAATCTGCTCTTTCTGTGCCCCCTTCAGTTGGTAACAACCTCAAACACTGTGTTGGACTGGCCTGAGATACAGTTAAATAGGGAAAGTGAAGTTAATTTTGTGTGTTTTTTCTACAGGACAGAATTAGGGACATGTTGAAATTATTTGCCAGTGCCATGTGCAAGTGGTTCCGTGTTGTGCTGAGCTGCTTTTTCTGCCTTTTCTCTACATTTCAGTCTCTTGCAGGTAGTAAATATCAGCCTTTCTAGTTTTGTTTTTTACACATTTGGCTAAACATAAATTCCAGTTCGATGTGATACTTCCCAATGCCTTTAGCCTTCCATAATTTTTGCTTAACTCTCTATAAGATTAGTTTCCAAGTTCTGCCTCTGATCAGGAGATGCACTGTTGCTTGTACACTGTCCCCTTTCATGAAGGCATGGTTGGAGAGTGCTGCCAAGAAAACTGAATCTTGCTGAAGTGCTTGGCTCTGCTGCCATCCACATGGGTAAGCAATGTACAGAACAGTCCTGACAGCTTGGTGCTTTGGTCAAATCAAAGCTGTGCAGTATGGGAAGTGTCCTGAAAAATACTGGGAAAGGTAGTGGTAGGGCTGTTCACTTTGGTCCTGTGGATAGAAGGCCTAGACAGATAGTGAGCAGAATGCATCTTAGCTGCCAGATGGGGGAAATAAAGCTAGCAGGGGAGTGTAGAACAGAACCAGTTTTGCCCGTGGAAGGGCAGGTAAGAGATTTGGAATTCAGATGGTAGCAAATAACGAGCGAAGCACAGCTTTTGAGCCCTGGGGTTTAACAGCTCCCCGAACAAGGAGCAAAATGCAGTTTTTGAGCCCTGGCAGTTAACAGCACCCCAGACGAGGAGCAGAGTGCAGCTTTTGAGCCCTGGAGTTTAACAGCTCCCCGAACAAGGATCAAAATGCAGTTTTTGAGCCCTGGCGTTTAACGGCATCCCGAACGAGGATCAAAATGCAGTTTTTGAGCCCTGGCGTCTAACAGCACCCCTCGCTTTCCGTTGCCACGCGGTAGTTCCGAGAGACCGATTCCCGTTCCAGGCTGCCCGCGGGAGGGCCGCGCACGCAGTCTCGTGTCTCCGCGTTCTCCGCGTTCTCCCCGCCCGCAGGTCCGGGCGCTGCCG